ACATAAACTTCAATCACTTTGAGAGGACTATCATTTTTCCACTTATATCATAAATCATAAAGTGTATGTTATAAACTATACACAATGTCTTACTCGCAAAAGTGAGTTGTGATCTACTTTAGCTTGGTTATTATACTACCAAGCTTTGATCACTAGAGGAAAATGAGAGAAGGATTTGGTCCATACTCCCATTGTTATTGGAGGCATGCTATTTTTAATTATCATATGCATCAAATTCCACTAAAGTAAACTTAAGAAATCTCGTCCTAGCTATTTGGGTTGACTGTGTGCATTTTCTTTGCCATTATTCTCTCTACAAAAATGATAAATACTTGGCTTCATGCTACCATTCATTATTAGAATGTGAAGCAACTTACCAAGCATCTTGATGTTCATCATTGCTCACTATGCTTTTCTTCATATCATCTTTAAGTTTCGGAACTCTTGTTGATAATTGAATTTGCAATTCTAGATATCAAAAATTATCTTTGGCACCCTTTTGAGTTTAGAGGTCCTATAGCATTGTAAGGACCTTATTGCTGTTTTCCAAGGATTTTTTAGTATGGATACTAGTTAGAATTAGATTCAATTAATAAAAATGATTATCATTGAAAGGAGTAAATACAAGGTTGAATAGGCACATTGCACACAAAGATGACAACTGGGCCAAGATTAAGAAGCCTAATACTATATATCCTGGATTTTTTAACAAAATAGGGGTTCAAACTCTTTGATCAAAGCCTTACTGACCATTTGAATATATATTAGATGTCAGATGAAATTTATTTGATCAATTTTTTCCTGATCATCAACAATAACTTTTCACTAATCATGAACTTTATTTGCTTTATTTCGTAACAAAACTATTGAGACCTTTTGAGGGTGTTCATGTAGGTTCATGAATGCTTGTTTATAGTTACTTGTTAAAATGATAGTTTGACTTCTTTATAAAAGTCACTTATATTTCGTTAGTATCACGCGTAAACCTCATTGGGTGGGCATTTATTTAGTAGTAAAGTAGTTACATTGTGACCGGAGCATCAAAGATTTGAGTTGCGAAAACAATCTCTCATCGTGTGGAGTAATATTGGTTACATCTGACATTCCTCAGAATTTGCAGTGTTGAAAGCCTTGTTGGGCTGCACTTTTTTTATGCATAACCCTCAATTTGAAGCCCTTAGTTATAACTTTATCCCTATATTTTAGCCTTGCTTGAAGTCTTTAGTGCTTATTATATTGTCTATGGCCTAGTTCAATAATTTGGTGCTTACCATTGATTTTATCGGTTTACAAGAGTGGCTTGATTGCATCTTGGTTATAGATTTAGTGTTGCCTTTACAATTATGAATCGCTTTGTTATTTCTTTCACTTTTAGGTTTCCAAAGTCTTATCAAGTCAAAGCGGGGATTCTAATCGATGATACATTTGTAATGTCGCTCCTTGGACAAGTAAACAAAGAAGAGAATGGCAAATTTTTTTGGGGTCCTAAGAGAGGAGTTGGTAGCACTAATAAGGACGTGCGATTCTATGAATCATTTACTTATGACGGTGTTGAATACTTTCTCTACGATTGTGTATATATATGGCGTGATAGTCAGCTTGAACCTGATATTGGTAAACTTGTAAAAATATGGGAGACGGCAAGCCAAAAAAAGAAGATGAAGGTTGTATGGTTTTTTCGTCCTATTGAAATACAACATTGGTTGGGGAATGTTAAGCTGCTTGAGAATGAGATCTTTCTAGCTTCGGGTGAAGGCAAAGGCCTTTTCAACCTTAATCCTTTGGTAACTTGGATTGACCATCATATTTTTCTCTATTTTTATTTATAATAATTATTGTATATATTGATGCTTTATTGATTAAGGAATACCATGACATTTGGTATACTTGATGAAAATGGCTTTTTGTGATGGGGACTAATCTTTGGCCAAGATGGTCATATACTAATACATGTGATGAAGATACTTGTATATTGGCTAGAGATTGTGCTTTATTTATGACAATTATCAATGATTGGTTTTGCTATACCATTATGATGCATGCCATTTTTGTAGAGTTAACTACCTATTTGGCTCTTGAACTATATTGTTTGTGCTAATGGAGTCCCTAAACTATGTGTTGTGTCAATCTAACCACTGAACTATGCAATCTGATTCAATGTGACCCTTTCATCCAAATTTGCCATTAATTTTGACGAAAATCCTCACATGCACGTCACGTGATCCAGAGATTAGATTATAGTTTAAGGACCACGTGATGTGCATGTGACGGTTTCCGTCATAGTTAACAACGAATTAAGATGGAATAGCCTTATTGAGTCATATTACATAGATCAAGGATAAATTGACACAAAACATAGTTCAGAGTTTTAGTTGACACAAATGCTATAGTTAACTCATGTATCTAATCCAAATTTGAAGTATCCTCACGCATGATGGGGTATGGCTTCTCTCGATAAGATTAGTTGTTCTTTCTTATGGAAAATTATGTAGTTAGTTCTTGTCTATAAACAAGGCCACTTATAAATTGACAAGGTAAGTAGCACTAAGATTTCAGTGGGAAAAATTTGTTTTTGTTTTCGCTTGAACAAAAAGTTAGACAATAAGTGGGGGACTACTGTTTTAGTGGTTAAAATTTGATCTTCCAACTTAGTGATTGTGGGTACGGGTGCAATTTAGTTAGGTTGGGTGGGTTAAGGGATCAACCCTATGTATAAATTTTTTAATTCTAACTTTAATCCTAACTTGACCACAATCCAAGTATTGGGTTGAAATTGGGTTATCCAATTTGGATTATCAATTCAGTTTCAACAAACAGTAATCCTAAATTAGGTGTGAGCCTTTGCATAATGTTAGATTATTACATAGGTTTACATGACCACTAAGATGAAGCCCATCAAGACAACTTATTAAAGGTGTAAGGATGAACCTTCTTTATATAAAAGAGAGGGGAGAGGTCATTTGAATTATCTATCTGATGTGGGATGACAACTCTTTGTCATTCTTTTATTTTTTTCACTTATCCCACATCAGTTTTGTAAATTTCTTTTTTCATCTATGTTCTTATAGATCATGTTTCATTCCCTCTTTAAATAATAATAATTCCAAAATATGTATTTGTATTTTATTTTTATATTGTTTATATAAATATAATACGTGAATTCAGGTTAAACTCAGAGTTGGGTTTGGGTTGAGCCCAATTTCATCATTTCGGGTTGTGTTCGGGTTAAATCCGTGAACCCAAGCTAGTAATCCGAGTCTTGTCCGAATTCAATGCAGGTTGAAACTTTTCAACCCTAACTCTAACCCTAACCCCAAAAATCTCAACCCTAACACTATTTTTTTCAGAGGTAGATTTCGGGTTGGCCCGTCCAAGTTGAACCCTTAATTGTGGGTTTGAACGTAATAGCAGCCCCTTTGGCAGATAATGTAAAAAGTTAGTTAAGTACCCACTACCCAACCTACCTCTCATAGACCCCATTTTTGTGGACTAAAGAGGGTGTTAAATTATAGAGTTGGATAATAGCATTTACCTAACAACACAAGAAATGTCGTGTCATTGCCATGTCTATTGTTGCCAAATGCTACCTAGTTCAACTTTACATTTTAAGAAAGTTAATATAAAGAGTGTTAAGTTGAAGGATAAACAAGGTGTATGCATAATACTTTAGAGATGACATTTCAAAGGTTGATGACTACATTGATATTTGACGACTATATTGATAGGTTTACATGCTTGATTGATAGCCTTCTCAGCTTAGTAACTAAGATCAAGGATCAAAATTTTGTTTTGTTACATTGTTTCGATCAGCTTGGAAACTAGAATATTTTAGAATAGATAAAAAATTTCTTAATTCATTTCCTAAATATTCCGAAACATGGGTTGAAACATCATGTAACACCTCGACACATAGGAATTTCAATATTCAATCATTAATTTGCTTTCTTTTTTTGGAATTGAAATGCTTCAGTCGATTCGTTTCACAAAATGAAAGTTTCAGCCTTGACCAAGATGATGACGAAAACTAGCTAAATATGGTTTTTTCCGATTAATTTGCTTTTAGTTGTTTTGAGGTTATTATATCTTATACCTGGTCTACCAGTTGTTTTAAAATTAAGTTTTAGTTAAGGTAACTACTGGATTGTATGTCCTCTTCATATTTGGCATGCATGTTGAAACAGTTTAGTGGAGATTAGAAGCTATCCCATTACATTTACTATCTGAAATTAGTGTTGTACGATGACTTGTCATCACGAAAATATGAAGTCATAGTGGAGATTGATGCACAGCTAATATAGTTGGTGTGCATTGGAAACATTTCAGTCTGGAGAATACTTTTTAAAGCCCGACTTAAACTTTGTTGTGTGCATTATCTGTTTGATTTTATGGTGCAGTTCTCTCCTCTAGGCTGTATGAAAGGATTTTATTACTGTATTATATCAGATAATGGTTTTCTGGCAATTGTATTGACAATGCATTTCATAGAGGTTTTTCCTTTGAATGGTTTTATGTTCCTTTTATGACCTGACAATCATTTTGTGTTCATTGTATTGCATTTGATTTTATTCATGAAGTTGTCAGAGTAGTGAATGCAAGATTGCGAATGTGGACCTATGAATTGAAGGGATGACCTGTGTCTTGGTGATGTAAAGTCGGAGCTATTACATGATATTAACAGTTGCCCAACACATAATGGAGACAGTGTTGGGAAGTATTACCTGCGCTAAGCTTTTTTTTCTTCAGTCTTCCAATTTAGTTAGAAAAAAAAAAAAAAATGGAGTTTGTTAACAAAACCCCTCCCCCAAAATCTCCCTTCATTAGATCCTGAGTAATGACTAAAATGAGGCTATTTCACATTGTTTGGCCGTTATAGCTTGTGTTCTTTCATTGAAAATTATCATACAGTTGTCCAAATACTTCTGCACTGAATAAAAAAAATAAGTACTGCCAAATATGATGAAATGATCACATGACAGTGTCCCCATGATTCCACTGTTTTAGGAAACAATTTGTGGAAAATGCAGAGTTGTCTGCACATCAAAGGACAAACGAAATCCTCAAGCATCTGCAGAACAATTGAGAATGGCTGATTATGTTTTCTCTCGTACTTTTGATGTTGGGAACTGTAAAATATATGATATGTTTGAAGATACTATAGCTGGGCATGAAGGTTAGTTGTTATATTAAAGCACTTTACCTGTTCTTTTTACATGCAATTCAGAGATATCATTCTTAATTTGATGTTATAATTAGCTCTTTGGACCTGCAATTATCTCAAGACTTACCATATGGGCTTCTTGCAACATTCTGAGTAGAATATGGCAGGTTCAAATTTGGCAGCCGTTGGACTCCTATTTATGCCATTTGCTGATAATTGCAATTTGTTAGAAAGCTTCTACAACTTAGGATAATAGATAAATTCTTTTAGTTTTTGGCTCCATCCCTTATATTACGTTTAGATGTAATAAAACACAATGAAGGGCATGCAGGAGTTACCTCCAAAAGCGTGTGCATGCTCAAACGAGCTACAAATAGGAGTCAAGAAGAAAGAGAAAACATTACTGGCCATTTAATTCCTTTTTGAATATGATGGATAATATAGCTTATCAAGATTAACAATTCATGGGCCTTGCTGCAGTCCCAGCTTAGTGACATCTAGTGTGTAACACAAAATTGTCTCTTTGGAGAAGAGCTCTTGATATGCAAGGTGTTCAATCAAGGTATCATTATGTACACTTGAATGTGAACATGGTGCGCCACCATGTGTAAACCCGACAGGGGATGCATACGGTGAAGTGAGATTTGAATCCAAGACGCCAAGGAACCGTAGTTCTGATACCATGTCAAAGATATCCAACTCAAAATCATTTGGCAATGAGGGGAGAGGTCCCTTAATCATATCTCCAAGCTTGGTTGAACTTATTAATCTTTCAATGTAAGATACACATTTTCTTCATACCCTTTGTCACATGCCACCTGAGCTTGCATATTGGCTAACTAATTGTTTCAAAATAGCAACAAACTGTGAATTACTAAGAAGCATGGACACGGACACGATATTTCTCAAAAAAATAGGATACAGACACCTTGGGACACGTTACAGATAATTGTGTTTTATATATAAAATTAAATAATTTATCACAAGTATAGTGATAATGATAGATTATTCATAAAAAATTCATTATATTATGATACATAAATTTTATCTCTAGTCATTTAATGTGAATATTTAGACAACATAATAATCAAGAACTATCAATTTTTTCGTAGACATACTATACATATATAATTTAAATGATTGTTCTCATCTCAATTTTTCTTTTCTAAATCGTTTATGTATCTTTTGCTTTTGTAATTATATTTGGAGTACAACTTTAATATATCTGGTCTTGGTAATTATATATTCTCTTATAGTATAAGATACTTAACAGTCAAATTTTTAAACTTGTTAATTATATGTTTATTGTTTAGTAGCCGACATGGTTTAAATAAGTGTCGGACATGTCCGAAGATTGTCGGTCTCCAATAAAGATAAATCACCTTCTTGAGAGTGTCTGTGCTTCATAACTGAGAAATTCAAATAGATAAGAGACTTAGTCCACCATCGATAGCTTATGCCTAATACAATGTTAAAGCATTTAACTCAAAACTAATTGTGACTGTGTGGAAAGGTTGACAAGGCTTATACTAGTTTAATAAGTCTTACTTTACCAATGTGGGAGGAATTTCGACCATTGATGATAGTAAATGTAGTAAAAGAATTTTCTATAAAGACCAATTCTTTTTGTTTAGTAATGACAAACAAAATGCAGTCGAAAGTACTTGGCGGGTGGCATCTAAGAAAATAGTGCCTGTAATCTTTTCCCACCATCTGTCTGGCAGAAGGGGCATTCATCCTTACTTTCTTTGTGTACATGTTCCTGAAGTCATGCTTTTATAATTGCATTGCAGTGGAGCATTTCTTTAACTGCAGAGAAGATCAAAAATTCATTGGTCGCCTTAAATTCAAAATGAATTTGGAAGACACAACTGGAAAATCAGGTTTATCTTCAAAGTTTGAAGCTGGCACTGCTGTGACAGCAGTCAAAAATGTTCAATCTGGCAGCAGCACAAATCCGGAAAAGAGAGGTGTTCTTAGAAAGCTATCCTAACAGATTTTTTTTTTTTCAAATTCAATTTCTATGTAGAAACAATTTGCTTCTAAAATTTACAGTGTCAAAAATACCAGTTGCTAGTGTGGATGTATGTATTGCTAATGAGAATACGTTGTTGAGGCCAGAAAATTTGACTGATGAGGATGGGATGGGAGCTGCAAATATTTCTCATTATCCATTGGAAGGAAGGGCTAAGGTAAAATATTCTGATGCTCTTACATCTACGGGTGTATTGAATGTTTGCCCACCAAAAAAAAGAAAGCTTCAACGCACTTCAGGTAAATCTTTTTGAAAACTTTTGCCCACTGTCTTACCTCAGTTGGAACTTGTGTAGAATCAATAACCAAATCATGTTGGCATTGACAATTGGTTATGTAGAAGTTCCTGAAATGTTACCTAATCTTCTGTCAAGATTATCGCATCACAAAGAAAAATCTCTGGATGCCCAAATTTCTTTTAGCGAGAAGAGTAAATTGTTGAAGGGAGTGAAGTTTGAGAAGGCAAGCAAGATTCCTCATAAAGAAATGGATCAGTTTGAACAGCATGAGGGCTTAAAAGCTGGAATCCATATTGTGGAGGTTACAAGAAGGGCCAATGCGGTAAAGCCTTGCGTATTTAAGTGGCATACTTACACTTGATGTCTTTTTCTTTTTAACTGCTTCAAATTTTAGAAAGAATAAGTTTTGAGGTTTACTAGAAAATTTGCATATGTAGGTATATATCTAGTTATTTCTGTGTACTCAACTACGGATCTCAAACTCTTTATCCTTGATGATTGAGTGAGAAATGAGTCAATGACTCCTTGGGTTATTGGATACTTATATCCATATTGAATTTCATTTTGGAAGTGAATGAATTGGCCTTGAACTTTTTTCTTTTGGATAAATACAGCCAAGTCTTGGGCTTCTAAGTAGTCACAAGATAAATAAAGAACACTTATTCACACAAGCACACAAAATATTTTTGTACTTTTTTCCTTTTTTTTAAATAACTTTAGATACCATTGTAATATCTTCTAGACATTCTTGCAGGATACAAGCAAGTGGTTCAAGCAACAAGTGAGTTGTCATTCTTGGATACTTTACAGGAATTTCGGTAAAGCAATAACTGGTTTAAAATCTGGTTGATAAGTGTTGTGCAGGGATGGACCCAAGATTTTGTTCTAGGGGCTGAAAATTTCTTATAACTATTGTTGATATACAAGCCTGATAATTTGAAAATTAATTAAAATCATGCCCAAAATTTATTGGATTCTCCCAGGAGAAAGGTTTGCGTTTAGTTCCTCTGGGCAACTGTTTTTATTTTGCAGTTCTGTGTCAGGTCATCCTTGTGGGGTTTGGTACCTCTGATTATTTTTAGATTGGAACAGATTTTGTAAGACTGATGTCCAGACTTGGGTAGTGGACTTTTTCTGTTTGCATACATATCAGTAAACTAGTACATATTTTATTCTTCATTTTTCTAACATGTCTCATGTTTCTTTTCTCTGTGCAGCCTTGGGAGGAACGGCTGCAGAGAGCTCAGGACAAAGGCTCACTTGTCTTGTTAGAAAACCTGGACCCATCTTATACATCATCAGAAGTGGAGGTGTGGTTGTGATTGGACTTTATTGCTCAAAATGATTTGTGTTGAAATTTGAAATTAGTTATGACTATTTACACATTAGGGATCCTAAATAACCTATGTTCTAGAAGCAAATACGGAGACAGGGAGCCTCTTCACTTAATACAATATCCTACCACTCATTCTATTTGCTGATACTCTACCTACATCTCTCCTGTTGTAAAAGACCACTTAAGCTTCACATATTCCACATGAGAGGACTGTTAACCACCATTTACTCCAAAAACTTAAGTTGTCAAACAGAGAGTAACTTAGTATTTATACTTCAGCACCCCTCTCATGTGTAGGCTAAATTTTGGGCCTAGCATGTGGAATTCTTTTAATAATCAGAGTGGTAGTAAGATTTGAATATAGGACCTACTGCTTTGATACCTTGTTAAACCACTATCTACTCCAAAAGCTTAAGTTGTCAGAGGGTGTGTAACTTAAGTATATATACTTCGACAAGAACAAACAATGTTCGGCCACACTGATTACTTCTAAGTATTCTATTGTATTTTTACATTATCCTGTGTGTGTAATGTTAATACGATTGCACAAGGTCCCTTTCGGAATGGCAAATGATATGCCATATAGTTGTTTCGTAGTGTTAAGCCTGATCATTGCACAAAACGGACTCTTGAGGAGGCATCCTTATGATTCATACTCTATATGTAGCACAGGGGTTCAGTTCAGGTGTGTTTGCATGGAACTTTCAAGCGTCTAAATTTGTTTATGATGGCTGTGTAAAATCTAAAATAGCAGTACCATGCTTCTATAGTCTAGACTGCTGTAGTTCATACAGATTTTGGATTACTTGCCACTGAAATCAAGACTGAAGGCATTTTATTCAACAATCCCTATAATTATGGCTGAAATGAACAGGACCGCCTGCTAAAAGCATAAGCTTCTAGTTTGTCTTTTGTCCTTATTCCTCAGGGTATAGTCTGGCATGCTTTCAAGGAAAAGGTCAGCGCCAAGATGATACAACGCAGCAGTTTTTCTAGCCCTCATTCTGGTTAGCATGTAGTCATGCCTTTTTTGTTTTAAATCTTACATTCATAGATAAAGTCTGAAACACTGTGAACACGTGTAGCTTGCTTTTTTAATTCTTCTATTTGCTGACAGGGCAAGCTTTCATTATATTCAGAACAAAAGATGCTGCAGAAGTCGCTATTTCCGACTTAACCAAGAAATGCCTAATGGTAGGGAATGAAAGGTAATTGACTCAATTATTTTGTGTCCTGGTCAGCGTTCCACATGATACAAAATTACCAATGATGCTCAGCATGTGCTTTGATCATTTCTTGAGAATTCACATCTGTTCAAAAGCCCAATAAAACATGTAGGAAAAGCTTAAACTAAAGGGCTATGGTGGTCTGACATAGAGCATGGGAATGATTTAGTGATTATACAGGCACATTGGTGTCACACAAGCATAACTGGTTTAAATGGTTTTAAATCTTGCATTCTAGGATCAATTTATTTATCTGATGCTTGCTTGCCACCTTGAAGCCACAATGTCCTTCATAAAGAGTAGTTTGGACTTTGGAGTATGCCTCCTTGAACATTTACAAGACCAAATTTGAAATTCTCAACCTTATTTTAGAGAGCTTATACATTATTCTTTTTATTCTGTTTCCTTAAATGCCAGAATCCTTTCTCTTTATTGGATTTGACACTTATATGAAATTTTGTGGCTTCTATGACTTTCTCAGACCAGTTGTCGGCCGCAAAGTGACATTGAGGGAGCCTGGTAATCCATGCAAATTTGTTGGTCATATGGTCATCGATAAAATCAAATTTCAAAAGCAACGTGAAGAGCAGGTAATTTGTGCTTCTTATCAATTAATTCTTGCATGCTCAATTCTTTTTTGACCTTTGAACAGTTTCTGAAACGGACAAGCTACTGAGTTGCTTTAATTTTTGTGCTATAAAAAGAGAAATGCAGTATCAACGTCACACTTTTCCCAGCCCAATACTATTGAGTATGGGATGGCTATGGAGTGGCTTGCATTACAAGAAAAATCAAATCAATGGTGGGATGCTCTAAATGAGGTAATCATAACATTTACATGCATTTCATCTCAATAAAAATTTATTTTTCGTTCCTTTTTTAAAAAATATTTCCTAATATTACCAATTACACTTTTGCATCTGCTTTTTTTTTTATTCATCAGTGCATGTCAGCTATATGGTAGCTTGGGTTTGTTTTTTATCTTTGCCCATCGTTGCAGCAACAGGCCAAGGAGATTGGAGATTGTGGGAGGCAGATCAAGAACCGTCATAATCAGAGTAAAAACTTTTACTTGGGAAACCAGTGTATGTTGTCGTCATAGGTGAGGCTCATAAGTTACTGATCTGATTCTTTTAGGTGTTCGTCCAGGCATTGTTGATCCTCCAACATTTTCCTCCCCCATCCAAGTTTCACATTTGAGGTGACATCAACTAGACCTATTACAGGAAGAGTTATTGGTTTGTGTTTTGTGAATGAGAGGTTTGCAGGGGGGCGATAATAGATTGTTTTTGTGGAGATGTACAATTGAGAGGCATATAAGGGAGGAGTCTACATTTTGGACAGTATACTGGGAAGACACCCATGCAGAAAACCGAAGAGATGATTTCAACCTGAGAGAGGAGTTCTTGTTGTGAATTTGTTCTTTCATGTCCATTGTAGATATCATATCTTTTGTAACTAAGTCGCAACAATTAATGATGTACATGAATTGTAAGATTAATTGCAAGCTGATTCTTCATCATCTCTACAAATTCAATCTTCATCTTCAAAAAGCTTTAGTGGTCACATATACCGACAGATTTGCCTTTGCCTCAAAATTTATCGTTTCTTGTTATTATTTCTATTATATTTATTTAACACCACAGTGGATTGAATGTGTACACTTACTATTTTGATTGAGTCTAGCTTCGATGATTGCAATTCAAAGCAGTATTACCTTTGGTGATGCAACTCTCTATATAGCGGGTTATCTGAATCCGATCATTCTGGTATGGATTTAGCCTATGCCAAGTTTTATTCTAGTTAGATTTACTAGGTAGTGTCTGGTGATGATCAGCTAAGGATACTTACCTATCTAAAGGGCAGATATCAATGGTTACTAGCTTGAAACGTCTGGGTTTCTTCTGCTCGTCCCTCTACACCAAACTCCAATATCATTTCAAGGTTTGGTGTTGAAACACAAAGATAGAAGCTCTTGAGAACTTATTGAGATGTATAGTGACACAAATATAAGTGGTTTTAAAAAGTTAAACGAAAATAGATTGAAGTCTTTTGGACAAACTGATGATGCGCATGGAAGGAAATCCAATGAGGGGGTTTACAAGTCGATCCATACAGAGCACACCAGAAAGTCCCAGCTTTCCGGGGAGTGATGGAGACTTTGGAGCTTAGATTACATATGGCATAACTAGATACTAAACATCCAAAAACCCATATTGCACATTATGACCCTTCATGATTAAAAATACTGTCTGAGAAAGAATACAAGTTCCATCCTAATGCCACAATACCCGCAGGGGGGGGGGCACCTCGCATGGTACTCTGCCAGTGATTTTCATGCATTCTTCTTGGGTTCAAGACTACGAATTAAAAACCAGCATAAACAGATTATGAACTACTCCTTGGAAGACTTATTGATGAGTGACTTGTGGATGTGTGGGATAACTCCACCACCAGCTATGGTTCCTTTGATGAGGGTGTCAAGCTCTTCGTCTCCCCGAATGGCAAGCTGCAAATGCCTTGGTGTTATGCGCTTTACCTTCAGATCTTTGCTTGCATTGCCTGCCAACTCCAGTACTTCAGCAGTCAGATACTCCAATATGGCTGCTGTATAAACAGCAGCTGTTGCTCCAACCCTTCCATTAGCAGAAACCCTTGTCTTCAGGAGACGGTGTACCCGACCCACTGGGAACTGAAACGGTTTTGTAACAAAATGGCTTCAAGAAATGAATACTGTGGAATGCTATTTACAAGACACATGAAGCCTGTGTTTTTTTAAAGCATAAACCAGCCTAACAGTATAATTTTGTCGACCCTGTTTAGGTAAGTAAAAAGCACCAATGCTTTCCAACATGCCATCAATCCAAGTGCAATTAGCGTTCTGTAGGAATAATCACTTGAATCTCAATCAATTTTGTGTAATTACTTTTTTCAATTTGATAAGGTCTCCAAGAATCACAAGAATGAGCACACCCACACCTACAGAAGTTACAACGTGAACTACCTAAAACCCTAAAAATCAAAAGTAAGTTTGTGGCAACACTTAATTGAAATAACTCTATATTAAGGTGACACATGCTTAACAATTGACTCAGACGGGTGTGCCCTGGTAAAAAACAAATTCTTGAAAGAAAACTAATGCAAAATCCATTGAACAAACCAAAGTTACCATACATTTGCTAGAATGTCTCATAGATATTCCTTCATAGTTTAGCTCAATGGTACATGCCTTGAACCATCATGGGGAAGCAAAGTTGGTCGATGATTGTTATCTTCACAATATAATTCAAAAAAGAGACTAATTCACAGATTTTCTATGTGTCATTGAACTTCTCCTCATAATCATTCAAAGGAATGCCTAACGTTGTGGCCACAATGACAAGACATGAATGATTAATGCAATCCAAGACCCTACAAAATAGGCAACACACGGGTTCAAAGGGTACCATACTCCTATTGCGTACAATTTCTGTCATCTTATCTTCTCAGACTCTATATACTCTTATGAAGCTAATCTTCCCTTGCTACTTTAGAAAATGGTTCCTCTGACAAATCAGACAATTACTCACCTATAAGACAACATTTCTACCATAGCACTTCTTTGAACAAATTAAACAAGTATTAACTTAATCTTGTTATTGATTAAAGGTAAAAAGAATAGATTCTCATTTCCTTCCGTTTTACCATGCCAACACAATTCCTCAGTTGCACTTCAGCATTTTCAAAATCCTAAATAGAAGTCATCTAGTTGATCCAACTGAAGAGCCTTTCAAACCACCTCGTTCACTTAATACTAAACCTCGACCTTTTGTTCAGCAACTAATAAGAGTCACATCCCACCTTCTGAGCAATCCCAACAAGAAACGGAAAAAGTTTTTGGCTGCAACAGGAACACCAAGATTCACATAAATTGTGATCCATTACACACCTCTCCTAAGTTTCTTTCGTGGTAACGTGGCAGGATTATAGGTTAAACGTATCCAGTGGACAAAACTTTGAGTAGAGAGGAGCCTTAAAAGGAAAGTTCCAAAATGTAACTACTTCAACTCGAGCGTTTAACAAAATATCCATAACACAAAATGAACGATACAAATAAAAATCTGCCAAACACTAATTCAAGACCCTAATCATCAAAAGCATAGAAAAAAACAAACACAAATCCAAATTAAAGATTCAAAGATATACAGACAAGTGAGAGTTTAAATGTGTGTAAAATAGATTAGAGAGAGAGATAACCTGAAGACCAGCGCGAGAGGAGCGAGAGGTGGGCTTTTTCTTGTCCTTGTCCTTGTTTGCTCCGTTTATGGCGGATGAGGATTTCCCCATTATCAAACCTTTCGCTCCTTTGCCTGACATTTTTTTCCCGCCAAATAGAAAATAACCACCACAGATTAGGGTCTTCGAGGGTTCAACGCAGAGAGGGTCAAGCGAGCAGAGACAGAGAGAGAGAGAGAGCAAAGAGAATTGCTTGGTCTGACTGACTCCATCTCCATGGACGAAAGCTACTTATTATGGGCCATGTGACGAACTTACCCTTTACGTCTTCGATAATTTACACAGTGAATGGCTAAGAGGAGTACACTACAGAGCATTTGTTGAGTTTTTCACTGTTCCCAGTCCCACCAGTCACAGAGCTAGAAAATATTTCTTAAATATATATATATATATATATATTTTATTTTGAATGGCTATTGCAAAATAGTGAAAAAAATAGCAAAGAAAACATTGAAAGCTTGACGGCGGCTCAAACTATCGGAAAAAAAAAAAAAAAGAACGATTCAAAAATTTTCTGACTTTTTCAGAAAAGTTCTTAATCTACCGATGACCGACTTTCAAAAAATACTTTTAGACTGAGATTTTTTGATCAGCTATTTAACTTTTTTAAAGAAAGGTAAAAATCTTTTTTATATACACAATAATCAATCTAATCCTTTATACTACAAAAGTGCGACAAGGAAGAGATAACAAGCAATCAAACGGATCAACAGTAGTATCTTTTGGCTATATAGCTCACAAATATGCCACAAAACAACCTCCTAAAAGACGGACCCCACCCGACGGAGACCGACTCAGTTTTTGATTCCATGTCATACCATGTGCGAACATTCCGAGCTTGGACCGATTATCTTGCTAACCATATGAATTCTTGTTTATATATGATTCTCCCAATCATACTAAAAAGAAGAAACCATGGGGAAAGCAAAAGATAAAGAGCAAGCAGCATCTTTAGAAGCTTGTTTTCACTTCAAAGTAAAAAAGGCAATACCATCAAACATTAAAATCACACGATTCTTTCTTACAACTCCACAATCAGATAAAAGATCAAAACACACATAAAGAATAGTCTCGGTCAAACATCTGCTGCTGCTGCTGCCTTTTCCTTCTCCCCCGTCTTCCCTTCTTGGGCTAGATGAAAGCCCTCAATTTTGTGGCTAACCTCATCAGCTGCAACCTTCACATTAGCAATTGGTCCATTTGCAAGAGAAGTGTCATGCTCATTATTACTCGAAGGCGTCTGCCATATTCTAATGGTTCCATCTTCAGATCCCGAGGCATAAGATTCACCTCCCGGACAAAATCGCACGCAATGAACAGGACCATGGTGACCCTTGTTACATCCTACAAAAATGTTAATGAGCAATCACAATCAGGGCTTCAACATTGGAAATTAAAGATAAACAAGAACCACAATTGAGCCCACCATGCAGGCTTTCATGTTTGATCCAACTGACCTATCTACAAAAAGACCAGCACTCTAATCAAGCACATTCATGAGAATTTTGTTTTTTCCTTTTTCTTTTTCTTTAAAAAAGGGAGGGAGGGGATCTATTTGGATGCACAAAAGCCAAGCATACATGTCCTGCAGCAAATTGGTGCCTCAAATGGCTACATGCAGTAATCATAGGTTAGACATTAGGCATTGAAAATGATTGCAGTGTCAAAAATTTAACATCATTTCCTGAGAAGCAGGCCAAGTCTGGACTCAGATTAGGCACCAGACATTTTTCAAAAGATCCCATAAGTTCAGGTCACATACCAATCTCTTCTCCTGTATGGAAATCGAAAATATGAACCCACATATCTTCTCCTCCAGCAATGAACTTATTACCAATCTTTGGTTCCAGTGAAGCCGATTCCACATTGCAAGGCATGTTGTAGCTCTTCACCAACCCAAAACTGAGAACAGAAGTGACAACATATATAAGACAATCATGCAGATGCATTATCAGGAGCAAAAGGGTACATAGTCTGATACATACTGATTTGCATCCCAAAACTTAACAGTGGAACCATCAGCAGTAGTTATATAACGACCATCCTCGCTGAATTCAGCACTGGTTACAGGTGACTTGGTCTCAAGTGTTTGGACGATTTTGCCACTTCTCACGTCCCATAACCTGGGCAATTACCATTCAGTTTTCACAAGGAAAGTGGGAGTGAGGAAAGTGACCATTGGAATAAAAACTGTTCACTAATTGCGGATTGAATAACAGCCATGCACTTTGCAAGTGCAGCAGGAGTTCCCATATTTCAGGAGCAAGCAGAGGAAATGACTGATTTCATATAATATGGAAGACAACAAAATGCATGTGAGGTAGGACAGCTATGCGAAATCAAAATAGGGGCTGTTTTGGGGCTATAAGCAGTAATTTGAACAGTAAAATAGGCCGTAAACAATAACATGAACAGTAACTTTGACTAAAAATTACTCTTAGGGTTCCTAGGCATCACACCTAGGGGTTAAAATTGCATCACACAACTCAAGAAGACATATAATTGCTGAAATTTTTGAAATATCTCTATCATTTATTAAAAATATCACTAACTATATATAGAGTTCTACATACTATTAATCCTAGGATAAGGATTCCAAAGTCTCTAAAATTCTACAAACTCTATATCACTAAAAAATTAGAAAACTAAAACAAACTAGAACTAGGATTCTTAATTCTAGCATATCAATACTCGAGTTTGACCCAAAAGATAACCCACGGGTCGGATTATAACTTATTCCAAAAATTCTAGTAATTACAAAAATACCATTGAGCCTAAAAACTATTTAAAGTACATATAAAATACTAATACTAGCAAATTGACTCAAACTAACTTAAAATAAAGCTCAAAATACAATAATGCAAGCTTCTATATGTATCTTTTTTCTTGGTGAAAAATCAATTCTATTACTTCAAATTTGTGTTTCTTTGAATGTCTTATGGATTGCATCATTCTCCCCTGGCTAGAGAAAACTCAACCATGAGTTTTAAAGCGTTCCAGTATGAGAGTCCACAAGTTTTAAACTTACATTCTTCTTTTCTTTATGATCTGAGCAAATAAAGAAAAAATTTGGAGATTGATCTCAACAATTTAGTCGTTGAACTTCTCAGGAATCATAAAATTAATTAGTGGAATAAAGTGAATAGAAAGAACATATTTGAATTGACATTGCATAGTATGACTTGTAGCATGCCTTTCAATTGAAGTCTTTCCCTTGTTCATGGTAATATCTTCTTTTGCTACAACTTTGAACTTCTCTTGATTTTTGTTAGAGTATGATAGCATTCGTAGATTTTTATGCTCACTTAAACACTTGGAAAAAGCAAACAAATCAAGCCCTTGAGACATTGTTATTGTTGATTGAAAGCGCCATCAATATAAGGAATTTCATTTGGCAACTCTTTTGGTACTATTTCGGAACACTTAGCAAGCAACTTAGTCATGTCTAAATGCAACTTTGATTCAATGACAACTACTACTTTTTCAATATTCTTAGGCTCCAAAACATAATTATTTTCAAAATATCTGTTTTTCTCCTCGGTCTTTGAATCAATAATTACTGAATTGACCTACCATTGTGTGCATATACATGATTTCCTCTACCCTGAATTATTGGATCACTTGTTGCTTTGAGCTGCTTTTGACGACCCTTCTCTGACTGCACATTAGAATGCAAAGAACTTAGTAAACCCTTTATGTACTTGTTTGGTGAAGGAAATTTAGGTATATCTCTTTACCAAGTATCTCTTAAAATGCCTACTCTACGTTATATAGTAGCTACCCAAGTAATTCAGCCTTTATATTTGACCTTCAACCAGCCTTAAATCGAGCAATTGTTTGCCCAAGGTCATCTACGATACGATTTTTCAAAATTCAGATTTCAAAGCTTTGAATATATTCCATGAGAGATAGTTTATCTTGTTACAAATTAATAAGTTGTTTGCAAACTTGCTACGATAGTTTGAGGAAGCTTAGGTTTCATCTCTTGCCATGTATTGATTGACAACAATCTCAATTTTCTTAAATCTCCTTTAACACTAAACCATCAAATTTTTGTCATACCTACAAGTTTCATCTTGGCAAACTTATTCTCTGCTTGTCCAAAAAATTCTATTTGGTAAAGCATTCTTCAATATACGTAAGCAAACCAAAGAATATTTTAATATCATTCATTCCATCAAAATCTTGTATCTATCCTCATATGTCAATATTTAAATCGTATAACATAGGATTTTTTTGGCTTTGATACCAAAATTGATATAGGACTGACGAAATCAAAATACGGGTTGTTTTGGGGCTATGAACAGTAATGTGAACAGTAAAATAGGTTGTGAATAATAAGGTCCCTTGGACATCACACCTGGGGCTTGTTTAGATGAATTTTAAGGAGTTTGGATTGGCTTCTTCAAACCCTTCTAAACCAAACCCCTGTTTGCAAAGATGAAATTCAACATTCAATCTGGTCCATACCCATATTTTGTATGCAACACATACACATGTAGAACTCACCGATATATCATAATTATTAACAACTATTTGTCCCGTAAATAACTATTTTACCGTTGACCAATTCAATTCATACTCATGTTAATGAGTACAATTGTCTTTTGAATCCTTAACCTTACCCATCTTCCCAAACCCACCCCCTAGATTTGACGAAATCCATGATCATGGGTTTAATCTTCGGATTAGCTACTGGCTGGATTTGAAAACCCAAGACTAAATTTTCGATACAAACAATGAGATTTGGGGGTCCTTTGGACTATTTTTTCCAAATTCATCTTGCCAAGCACCCCAAACCCCCCCCCCCCCCCCCTTTACCAAACAGCCCCCTAGGGGTTAGAGTTGCATTACACAACTCAAGAAGCATATAATTATTGAAATTTCTGAAATATCTCTCTATCCTTTATTAAAAATATCACTAACTATATATAGAGTTCTAAGTACTCCTAATCCTAGAAGATTAAGGATTCCAAAGTCTCTAAAATTCTAAAAACTCTAACACTAAAAATAAAAAAACTAAAAAAAAAAACTAGGACTCCAAATTCTAGCATATTCAATCAAAATTTTATATGAATTTTTGTCTTGATGGAAAGCCAATTTCATTGTCTTTCACATCTTCAAATTTATGTTTCCTTGAGCAACTTATGGATTGCATTGGCAGGTCCACTGAATATTGCCTTGAGGGACATTTAGCTACTGCTACATAGAAAATTGGGTTACGATTGAATAACATGCCATGATTTCAAAACCTACAGTCCATAGAGAGGGTTGTTTAGAACATACATTTTTTTTTTTTTTTTTTTTACAAAATATTAAATTGAACCAAATGTAAATATGTCAAGGATGTTGCCTTAAAAGGCTATTGTGCACTGGGTCAATCATTTAGACAGGTCTAATCGACAAATAAGAGAGCATTCAGTTTCAGTTTTAGGATTTTTTTATCCTGCTCTAGATAAGAGGTTGATGTAGTTATGGGCCCAATATTGTCTCAAGTAATTGTTATGCACTCCACAAAAGAGATTGTTTATCTAGAAGTGGCCCAACATTACAACACATGCCTATTTCACAATACCTAAACAGAAAACTGGAAGTTCAAAAATTCATATCACAATCTGCTTGGACAGAAACAACCATCACTTTGGAACAATTATTATAGAGAAAAGCCATCGTATCACCACCTATAATGTGCACACCAAAAAATATCATAAAGAGGAAGTTCAAATGCTAAGTACACACACATTTTGCATTGAGGTATAAACACACCAGTGCACATCTTGAAAATTAATAATTATTCCCTTTTCATGTGCAAGTAGGCAAGCTATGACAAAAAGTCGATACCATTTACAACAGAGAAATTCCTTCAAACAAAAAAGTACAGAGGCATTCCAACCAACCACAAGTGCAAAAGTTTGTTAATTGAATGCCCCCACATAATTTTGATTTACAGTCTGCATGTAGCCAGGGGCAGAGCCAGGATTTCTCCGTAGTGGGGGCAACCTAATTTCATCCCCATCATTAGTTCTTAGCCTAGGATCTGCATCAAGAGTATCTAAGTTAATTTCATAACAGTGTTGCTCAAAACAATATCGTATGTCACTACCTTAATACTTTTCTGAGTAGAAGGCTGTTTTCCAATCGTGATTTTGTTTTAAGATATTTATCCATAACTCATTTCAAAGGTAGTAGAGTAAAATTATTTCAGTGCTATCCATAAAGCAAAATATTTTAAGTAATCCATAACAAGTAAACTGCAGATAATACAATCCAAAATCTAATCCAAACTAGAAGTTGATGTCTTCAATCAAAATATAGACATAGGGGAGAAGAGAGCACTGGCCTAGTGCCAAGTTGAGAAGACAATCAATTCCAAAGGACAAAAATTAATATCTGTCATGACGATAATGTATAACAAAGTTTGCTTGAAGACTAACACTGGTAGAGATATGTATTTGAGTGGGTAATCTATGTCAATCAACATTGACCAACCCTTCCTTGTGAAGTTCTAAGTGCTTGATAAAATAGTTCAATTTTGCAACCCTGGTGGTATTCTACAGAGAATTTCTTTGATTCTCCCACATAGCCATGGTTACTGTGCTCATTAAGACACTATTGGCTTGTTTGTTAATTGTTAGGTGAAGTTTGTCAGTTAGTTGTTTGTTAAAAGGCCAAAAAGAACATATATACAGAATGACATGCAGTAACTAAGAAGTCTTTGAGGAAATGCAGTCTGCAAAGATATGCAGACGAGATTTACACCAAATGCTAGGACCACTGGTGGGTTTTTAAAACATCATGGTTCTAATCCCTAGTCAGCCAAATGAACAAATGAACATACACGAACACAAAAGAAGTACATAAAAATCATCATGACATTCATTTTACATTATTTATTTACTTTTGGGGGCTAAGCAGTATGATCTTTAGTTGCGGCGTTGAAACAATGCTCAAAATATTGAAGGGTCCAAAATGCTATGCAAACAGAAGTCTAGCAAATTTTTATCTTGGGCTTTTACAGACACTAGAAACACATGCATGCAATCTCAAATTTAATCAGATTTTCTAATTGGCAATAGCCAGCAATCCAGCATCACGAATTATCACGAGCCACACAATACAAACCAGCAAGACCACTTTGAAGTGTATATATGAATCCACATAAAATGCATACCAGCCATTAGCACTAATTCAAATAATAAAATCAGAAAACGCCATCTTTAAACAAAAAACTGAAAACATACAAATCAACACAGCATACCTCACGCCCCCAATATCAGTGCATGAACTTAATATGGTCTGGTCGCTGTGAATCCATGAAACAGTTCTAACTGAACCGGGAGAGTTATCAACTTCTCTTGGAGGTGCATCTGGACGATTTAAATCAAATATGCGAAGTATTTTCTCAACACCACCAGTGAGTAGAAGGTGTGTATCCTGTACAATGATCAAAAACTTCAATTCAAACAGCGTCTATCAAACGTTAAAGGGAAAAACACTCGGTTAGTTCCTCTGTATCTAGAGAACATCGATCATAAGAAATACATATATCAAGCTGAAATTATTGATTGTAATGTCACAGCTTCTAAATACTATTTTTGGTATTGAGTTAATCAACTATAGGAACATATAATCATATTTTAAACCCATTTGAGACAACTTAAAACCTGGACAAAACTGGGTAGTACATGCAAGTACTACTCTAAATCAGATAAGGAGGGTGGAGGGAAGCTAAGTGTGGGAAATAATGAGACAAAATCTATATCCACAAAATAAGGACTTAAAAACTTTGAGAATAGACAGAAGAACATATGGAAAAAATATTGCATATGCAAAAGGGCTGCAAGCAAACTGAGTTGTTTGGGCCCAACTCATTAAATGGGTGCAAGCATGTTCAATAAAGCAACAGACTGAGATCATCCATTTTCAAGCTCATATAATAAATGGACCAGGTCCAAACAAGGCTCAGCTCAGCTTAGTAAGCTCATGGACAGGTGGCAATATTGTTAATACTATCTATGTACAACATTTAAAACCTGTACATAAAGCGAGGCGACACTCGACCACCTCTTATCTCATTCGGAAATTCATTACCGGTCAATCACAAGAAGACATTGACTAGTATCAAACAATTTGATAAACCAAGAACCTCTTTCCAACTCAAATGAAAGAATATAGGAGCTATGACATTAATGTCCAGTAACAAAACTGAATAAGATGCATTGCAAACCCACAGAGCTGCTGAAAATTGTGCTCAAAATCATACTTGGCTTGGCTTTGCTTGGATCGTATGCAACTCTACCTCATTGGAAAACAGAGAGAACAAAAAAGCAGAAGCCACTCAAAAGTGTAAAAGAAAAAACAAACTAGAAGAAAAATAATTTGAAATACCTCCGAAAAGGCACACGCCCGAACAATGTGCTTGTGTTCAAACGAGTGCAATTCATCCCCGGTTAATGCATCCCATAATTTTCTGCAAAACAACTGAGGATGAATTAGAAAACAAATCAAGAATCATCATTTGTGCATGTCTAACGTCAGGGCCAAGAAGAAGCAAAGCTTCAAAGTGCGATCAATATACTAATAAAAGTCTATTACCACTCAAGCATATGTGAGAAATAGCAATTTTAGGCTAACATATAAAAACAATTTTGTACCAAACATAACTAAATATGAAAAGGCTTTGATCACATACGCAGAGAAATCAGCAGACCCAGATGCAGCGCGCAAAGCATTTCTATCCAGGCAACAACTCCACACAGCACCTTTATGACCTTCAAAGGTTCCAATCCAATCTCCAGTCTCGCCATTTCTCAGCATCGGGGTGGAATCTGAATAACAAAGAAAATAATTAAGATGTTATAATCAGACAAGATCAAATACACTATTAAATTATGTAGAGGTCTCAGAACAGAAAATAATTCAAAGTAAAATTTCAGGGATGGCATGAGAAAACACATTCCTGGGATTGATGAGGAGATCACAAATTATCGGCACCAGAAGAGATCACACATATCTGTTTAAACAAGAAAAAGTTAAGTCAATTCGTAGTTACCCTTGCTGGCACTGATGAGGAAAAACCCATCTGGCGTAATTGGGCTGTAGAACAAATCGACCACTGGACGAGAATGCCCATGGCAGACCAGTGGAACTGCGACCTTCTTCTTATCCATCCTTCACAGATTCAAATACACCACAACACTGGCTATAGATGATCTTCTAATTAAACTGACAAATAGATATTACTAAAGCACCTATCCCTAAAAAAACGTCAAAGTCCTCGATCCTAACAGCAGGAATTCAAGGACCAAAGCCCTAAAAAACTGACAATTGACCACAAAAAATACAAACAATTGCCTGAAGAAAGATGCGATAGTAGGAATAGAGAACTGTATATTGTGATTGATTGTATCAAAAAATAGAGGACACAGAAAACAACAAACGATCTATGGTAATGGCGGCAATCAATACAGGTGGGAAACCCTAAATTAGAACTCTGATCGCTCCGATTTTTGTACGAATCCACACCTCCTAACCCTATCAGATCAGATATCTCTAAAGGATATATCGAATCATCCGTTATTAGAAAGAAAGAAGATAGAAAAAAAAATACAAACTACAGACTGACCATAGGGCTAGGCGCAAGGAAGGAGATGGAATACGCCTGGTTTTATACTATAAAATTGATTTTTTTTTTTTTTGAGAAAATTATAAAAGTATGCCTCATAGTTTCTAATAATTTGAACAGATGACTTCATAGTTTCTGATAGTACATGAGCAAACCCACCCACACCCCCAAAAAAGGGAAAATTGTAACCGCACCATTTTTAGTTTACCATATCTTCAAGGACATTCTTTCGATTTTTTGAATCTTCACTGATAACCTTATCAAATTAAAGGTATTAATTAGAATGCATTTTACTAAATTACTTATGATATATTTTAGAAAAAAATTTATTCACACTCCCTTTACATAAGCATATCTTCAATGAGATCTCCTCTATTTTTTAAATTTTTTATGTATTACAATTTGGGTCAATTAAAATTTAATTCGAGTTAATTAAAATTTATTTTTATATATTAAAATTTGTGTCAATTACAAATTATATTTTTTACGTATTAAAATTTAAGCTGATTAAAATTCTATTCGAGACTCAAATCAAATTTTAATTAATTCTTATTAAATTTTAATGGGCCTGATTTTTGATATATAAAAAAAATATAAATTTTAATTGACTTAAATTTGAATACGTAAAAAATAAATTTTAATTAACTTGAGTCAAATTTTAATAAATAAAAAAAATATAAATTTTAATTGATTCGAAACGATTTTTAATAGGCTCAAATTTTAATATGTAAACAAAAATAAAATTTAATCGGCTTGAATTGAATCTTAATCTATTCAAATTTTAATATGTAAAAAAAAAGAATTTTAGTCAACACAAATTTTAATATGTAAAAAAATGAATTTTAATCGAATTTTTATATAAAAAGATTGTTTGGGGTTTATGTAGAGCAATTTTAGTATTTTAGATAATTTATTTTTGTTATAAATAGTGATTTAATGACAGGGGTGTTAGTGATGTTTAAATATAAATTAGAAGGTGTGTAGTGATATTTTTAATAATAGAGAAGATATATTTAAATATATGATACACTAAAAACGATGAGACTGAAATTTTTTTTAAAAAAATCATAGAATGTCCACAGAAGGAACGGAGCTTCGAAAAATTTTCATTCTTTCTTACCATTTCACCAAAATGGCCAAAACATTCACACTATTGTTTCTTCCCCAACTGTTTTCTCGCTATGACCTCTCAGTGGAGACTGGAGAGAGGAGTGAAATTGATTTTGTGAGAAACACGTGTGATTGTTGGTTACGAATACTTTGGGCAAGAAAATAAAAAATTTCCAAGATATTTTTGTTCATGAGATTAATTTAGGGTCGTCTTGTTATCTATATAATAAAGTGGTTTACAATTCAAATTTCAAAAAATAAACAAAATGACTTTTGTTATTCGCGATTGAGATTATTTTAAATTTTATTTTAAAGTTAATCTAATGACTAATATTAACGCCTTAAATTTAATATGAAAAATAGATCCCTAAGGATATCTTTGTAGTGATTTTTTTAAAATATTTTTAGAAATTATTTCTCATAAATATTTTTTTTTTAAAACAGTGTCTGAAACCGTCTCACCACTACTTCTACCACCGCCACCGCCACTACCATCGCTACCACCACCACTGCTACCAATGCCACCACCATCGTCGCGGCCACCCCATCACCACCACCACTACTACCCCTCCCACCACTGCCACCACCTCTGCTGTCGCCACCACCTCCACCATTGCCACCACCACCGCAGTCATTTTTACTTACCATAACCATCACCATCTCTTACTACCACCACCACTGTCGCCCACCACCTCTCACACCCACTACAAATCGATACTTAAATTATTTTATTTTTTTCTATATTTGTGATTTGATTTTGGATATAAATACAAATATATTTATTGTGTTATTATTTTTTATTACTCTGTGCTTTTAGGCACATGCAATAACTAATAATTTTATAAGTGATGCAACAATTCAAAAATTATTATATTTTATTGTACAAATAATTTAGAACAGGTTGAGGGCACCTCGAGATTCAGATCTCATTGTCATCTACCATAGTACAAGTGGTTAAATGTCTATGTTAGGTTTGTTGTCTTATGAACTTAAAAAAGTCATAAGCTCTAAGAGAATTATCTTTAGAGACAAAGAATCCACATTTGGAACCTCGTCTAATGTTAGATAATTTGAATAAGTTGTCTATATATGTTTTGCGCCTTCTAAATATTATATTCGGGGTTAAAGTAGGAATACCCTTAAAATAAGTTCTAAATCCATCAATAAAAGAAAAGCAAATGGAAGAAATGGACCGAGGAGCAGCTTATGGGGCACATCGAAAGAGATGTATGGTGTGAGCCTTCTCCCCAGTAACTCCTAGAGTTGCACCTTTTCATTTGTCAATTGATAGAGTAAGGGGAGCTTGCACCTTGGAAGAGACTTGACCAGCCTACTATAGGCAACTTGAAGGGTAGCATCCCCTAGGGTGATGATAGCAGATAAAGAAGAGGTTGCAGAGGTATTGAAGTTTGGAGACACTCCTTTCACTCGAGAGAAAGGCATCCTTGGTCTTTTGCGAGAAAAAGGTTGGTTTCAGATACCCTCCTAGCTACAACTGACTAAAGGGACTTCTTATCAATGACATTAGGGGCCATAGTTCGAGAGTTGCAAAAGTTAGAGTATTTTTGAAATGAGGACAAAAATGTAGAAAGAAATATTTATACCTTTCGGATGAGAGGTTACAATAGATGAAATAGTCGGGCAACCTAGAGAAGGCCTTAGTAGACACTCAAAGAAAGTTTGGTCAATTACAAGCTCGAAGAAGTCCTTTGTGGGATAGTCGAGCGCTTGTTTAATCCATATCCTTGACTCAAAGGACAAGGGATTTGATTTTCATGTGCTTAAAAAAGGATAAATATGAAAACCCGAAGACAATACGGGAAATAACTGAAAGGGAATGCACTTACTTGGAAGAGAGGTAGGAGCTGCCAGAAGGAACCTTAGAGGGCCAAACTCCCAACCGAGACCAAAACCAAAGAAAAACTTGTTTTTCCACTTCTTCACATTCGAGGATTAACCTATCGACATGATTGAACCTTCTCTTTTCAAAAAGTAGAATCACCCCAAGTCTTGCCTAGAGCAAGGGGTGAGCATGTAGCATTACATGAGCTCAGTAAATTGGTTGCACGCCAACATCATTTGCCTTAGCCCAAATGATGCCCATACCAAACAAAAAACCCCAACTGTTAGGGGTCAATTGGGTAGGAGCAAGGTTCAGAAAGTAAAGGACATCTCTAATATATTTAGGGATTGGAAAATGAAGTTTAGCTTCAAGAATAGACTCATTGAAACAAGCCTCATCAAAGAAAAAAGAATTAGTAGTCTCTTCAGTAGAAGGGACTCGCAAGTGCACAGAGTCAGGGATCGAATATTGAGCCCTTAGCTCTTAAAGAGAGTCCTCATTTAGACAATTGTGATAATTCTTAGCACCGTTAATTTTTAGAGTTGAGGACCCAATCTCTTGGATAGATTCAAAATCCTTGTGTTGTCGCATTGGATTGGGCTACAAGGGTCGAAATACTCTTAGAGGGGGATTGACCAGAATTGTTCGCCATAACCGGGAAGCTGTGTTTGTTGATATATAAATTCGGGTGGAGAAAACAATTAAGCCTGTTAGAAACTAAAAAAAGGCAAAACTCGAGCACGGATGCAAGCCGAGCACTAACATATTCACTCACAAAAAACCCTAATGATTCAAGGCTAGAGTTTTTCCATCTCCAAAAAGCAAAAGTGATAAAAATAAAATTGGAATATATGGCTCCAATCTATGCGCTCTAGATCGATGAATCGTGGTGAAGTAGGAAAACAAAAAGGATTAGTGCAAAGAGGCAAGGGCGTACTAGAATTCCAGTACCTCTTGAAGATAGCTAGAGAAAAAGAAGGAGATCTTTTATATATACTAAACCCACAATGACTCTTTAGCGGTTGCGTGCACTAAACAAACAACTTCACTCCTATTTAACGGGCAAATGTAATTATGCATAGAGTGTGCCATCCACCGGTCTCAGCTAGGGGCAACAGATAGAGATAGAATTAGCCCTAAGGTAACCACGTGAGTGGCTGAGAACGTGAAAACATGTGAATAGCCGGGCACGTGATGGGGATAGCCATGAGGTAAGAACATGAGTTAGAACACGCAATTCGGTGTGATACATTTGCTCCAGGATCCAAACCGCGTATCATCTTGCCGCATCATTCAAAAGGTAGCTGAAGAACTTCAATGGTAATAAGAGCTCAGCCTATAAAGGAGAAAAGCTAGCTACGAGCTAGGTAAGTAATTCGTCCCATCTCAATTCCAACTAATCCTCTTCATCTTACTAACTTAATCATCGAAAGGTTGATCACCATCCTGTCTTCGACTTCTTTGTAGGAGCCCACCAATGACTGTCAAGTCATTAGACATTCCATTGGTGTAGCTTTCAGATCAACACTTACTAAACGAAGGTAGATGGATTCATTTTTTTAAGTGGCCTTGTCTATCGCACCCAAAAACAA